AATACAATTTTGATTTTAAAAAATGTTTTCACGTTACTATAGTTTATGTCATGCTGGTTTTGATTTTGATTCAATTATGATGGATGACCTTTTATGGTTAAAATGCATCTTACATAGTTTCCATTTCATTAGATAATTTTTTCCCGATGATTAAATTTTATTTAGACCAAAGAAGAAAGAAAAGTCATTGCAACAACTACCAGCTAATCTAGAATCTATCAACAGTCAAGAAGCAACTGCAATCCGCATCAGATTCAAGAGTTTGTTTGGAGAACATAAGAGCACGACCCTTCAACAATCAACACAAGTCAACACCGAAACTACATAACAGTCACTACCATTGGTTTAAAGCCTTCAATCAATCAAAATTTTATATATTACTCAAAATTAGAAAGAAAAAACCGCAACAGAAGAAAAATACAGAGTCTCCCGTAGAAACAGGGCTCACCAAGAACTGCCAGACTTATCAAAACACCTTTGGCAAACAATGATATAAAGTATAAACTTAATCCAAAACCGTAAACAGGGGAGATAGAACAGCTACCAAACAGCAAGACTACAAACAACAATAGTGGCTGAAAACAGTGAAAAGCATCAAACCTCGCTATATCGGCTTGTCAGTTCAACCCAACTAACAAGCTTCAAGAACATAGCACCGCTATCAGACAAAAATTGCACCAAAAAGGACTAGGACACATAGCCTAGAGCAAAATACCAGAATCCTAAATTGCAATACAAAGCATCCTAAATGACATCCAACCACCACACAAAAAAAAAACAACTACAAGGGCTGACAAAAATACCATCAACAGGGACAAATAATGCTAAGATATGCCTAATATTCAATAACTAATTGTTACCACATTCTGAAGGCCATGGACTCTATTAGAAACCAGAAATAACAATGACAAATAACAGACTTTAGAAGATAATAATAAAGATGGAAAATTGTTTATTGTTGTGGAAGATTATAACTGCAGAAGGGAAGAATTTCCTAATGCCCGCAGAGCAAAAGCTCCTGCAGAGAAAGTATAACTCTCTGTTTGACAGAAATACAATTCTGATATGATTGCTACCCACTCTCTCCACTACCCCTTTATAGCCGAATTAGTTTGCACACTCTGACACACTCCCTCTCTCACTGCCACCTCAGCCATTTTCTCATGTTCCTATTCCTCCTCACATACACCCTCCACACTTTAGACCTAGCTTGCTGATGAGTAAGTATATCTCCAAGGCCCATAACATCATCTGTGACTGTCACTCAATATTTGAAGCAATTCTTTCATAACACCATGGCAAAACAACAACTACCACGAAAAGCCTTTCCAAATAGGTGGAGTCTGTTAGCTAGATGATCAAACAATGTCATAATGCCCTACAGAAAATAGTCTAATGACAAACTGTTTGCATCTAAATCATTCTTAGTGGTCTGACCTAAGATTTTTCTTACTTCCCTTTTATTGTAAAACATGTCTAATGACAAATTATTTAAATCTAACTCGGTTTTAATGATCTGGCCAATGGTTTTCTTAGTCTCTCTTTATTGCTGACTATTAGACACTAATACTATCTTTTGATTTACTCTTCAATTAGGTAACTACAGGTTTTATTCAAACATGCCGAAACAACTAAAATGATATTCTATCATCTTCCTCACAATACATGCTACCCAGCTTCCTCTCTTAATAGATTTCTAAAGGGATCTTCAATACTGCAAGTGTAAATAGCCATCAAAGACAGACCCTTGAAGAAACCATAGGCAAACACATGCAGAATTTTCATGTCAAATTGATGAGTTTGTGTGTGCTACCAAACTAAAAGCTACAAAAAAATACCTGATACCATTGAAAATTTCTTTTAGAAAAAGTTCCGTATGATGTCATGTTTCTAATAAGGGAACTTTAGGCTTAGTTTGGGAGTTAGGAGGAATATGAAAGGGAGAGAAATGCTTATGAGTAATATTTTCTATATTGAGATTATTACTAAAAAGAGGGAAAGGATTATAGGAATTTTTCAAAACTCTCCAAAATCCTCCAAAGTCACTCTCCCCTTCCTTTCCTCCCAACTCTCGAACAAACCCTTAGTAAGGATCGACCCTCGAACCCTATCTTCGTCTTATATACTATCAATTGCACCTCATATTTACTGCATAATGTTTCAAATAGCGAATTTTAAAGTTGACCAACCTCCCTTCCCCGTCCTTTTTCTCCACTAAAAGTCGAATTAAACCATAAAGCTAACCATAACCAAATCCAATTGCCCATATCCCCGAATGATTAACCCAGGGTTTAGGGTTTAGGGTTGGGACATTGAACGAGTATTATGTAGGAAGTCCAGCGTTGATACCTGCTACTATCAAATCCCTCCTCTCCTACCAAATTAACCACTAACATATATCTAATAACCAATAAGCCATACTTTCCAGCATCAAATTTTGTGACTTCGAATCAGTTTCAAGTCTATGAAATCAAACATTATCTTCTCCTGTAGCAACAAACTTTTTACATTTTTTTACCAATTGTTAGCTTTCAAGTGATAAACATTATCCAGATAATAGCAACAAACTATCATTTGTATCCGTTCAAATTCTATAAAGTGACAATTCAACACTAGAATTTAACTATTGACCTAACACTAACTCACCCAAAACTTGCATTGTAGTATTAAATCAAAACCTAAAAAACGAAAATTAGAACATGACCTAATGCAACTCATCAAAGTGAAAGAAAATAGAAAATAAAGCTATTGAATGAGTTAAAAAAGAAGGGAAAAAGTATGATAAAGAAATTACAGAGTCTGCGGACGAGGTTGAGGTTGCGGTTGCGGTGAATGGCGTTGGGGTTGGGGTTCCTCTTTTTCCTTTCGTTGTTCTTCAGTGGGTTCCGGGACGTCGTCGTTTTCGTCTGAGGAGGAAGCGTAATCGACCAGTGACATTTCTAGTTCTTTCTTTTCCGCCGGAGAAGATGTTCCGGTGGTGTTCAGGCGGCGCTCTTGCCGGTAACGTCGACGAGACAGTAGGCGTCAGTTCCTTGGGTTCTGTACCAATTGCGAAACCTGTGGCTGTGAAAGGTTATTTTTTATATTTTGTTAATTATTATTGAAGTTTTTCTAATTACGCCCAAAAATACGTGATACATCTGTATTTAAATATAATTTAAATAAATTTTTTGTGTTTTTGTATATTTATTATAAATCAATATATAAACTTTATTTGATTAAAAGTTTAATTTTATTAATTATAAGAGTAAATTTGTCTTATCAACTGCTAAACACTTTATATTATTTTGGTATTTAATGCTGTTGAGTTGGCATATTCATATTTTGTGTTGGTAATTTATAATTAATTCATTTTTTGCAACCCTAATTACATTATTTAATTATTAATTTATGTACCACTTGAAATATGTACCAGTTGAAATGAAGAGGTCATTTATTCCTCCTCTGCATAACACTTGTAATTTCAATGCTAAGAGGTCGTTTATCCCTCCACTACATAACACTTGCAATTCCAATGCAAAATTCTATTGATAAACAGTCATAAACACCACAACTTTCAACATGGAGAAACACATACTCTTTCAACTTTCGGTATTTCACTACTCAACCATAAATATCTGTCCATGTATCTCTTCAAACTCCAACCCATCATTTCTCTAATCTTCAATTTGGTAATATTCAGGTAGTCGTAGTTGCAATGGATTTGTCGATTCGTTATTTCTGTTTGTTTTTTAATCTTATCGGCTTCAACTCAATTTCACGAATAGTGTTTTATTAAACTGATTAGGTTAAATGCTTCATATGATGTTGAATTATTTAGTTCCTGGTTGAAGAATATTTGTATGTTTCAAATGCGAAATATGATTCTAATGTTTTTCAGTTGTTGTTACAGTTTATATCATCATCTATGGCACGCCTAATTGAAGTAGTGAAGGATATAAATGAGTCAAATGATTTATAGAAGATCGATGTGAGGTGCAAACATATATGGACTATGACGAGTGCTTCGAAAAAGGAACATATTAAGATGATTTTGTTTGAACTGTTATATTTTTTTGTTGCAGAAGTATATCTGTTTTTGAATGAGTTTGGTGTTCTAAAATCAATGGCAGACTGGATGAACAAACAATTGTGGATACCCAAAATGATGCATATGATGTTTCAACTATTGAGCAGCGTCGTCTTATAAATTAGAAATTTAGATTAAAAAAATGAATACAACATGTAGATTCTCAAATGGAAGAATTGAGGCTCTTGGAATTAAACCAATTGTTACTGCTTATTTAAATCTTCTTATGATATTTCTGATTTCGCAATTGGATTTGATAATATGTTATATTATGCTTCCTATCATATGCATGTTAATTTGAACTATCTGAAACACTTGAGCACTTAGCAAAAAAATTAAAGGAAAACTCTAAATTAGATGAGTTGATTTGAAATCCTTATTCACAAGTTGACCATTTTTAACCTCTTGAAAGGAGAATGTAATTTAGTGTCCGCCAAATAGAAATTATGTGCAGAAATTAATGTTCCAACATTTGTTGTTATTTTTCTGATATAGTTCTTTTAAATTTTGTTTGAAGATTTATTGAAATGCCAATTTGTTGTAGGTCTATTCTTCTCATAGCTACAACTTCCCAACATATATTTTGTTGAAGACATGGATGAATATGAAGACAAGATGAATATGTTAATAATCTCTTATTCAAGCTAGGCTTGGTGAGTTTATTTTTGTATTAGAAAGTTAGAGATCTTCTTTGACCAAAATTAAAGCAACATTAATGGATATTTTTTTGTTTGTTGCAGAAGAATTTCAAGTATTGTAATATGATAATAGGCATAAAACTAATGTTTTAAAAAAGAAAGATGGGAAGAAAACACACATCATTGATGATGAGAGGAATCCACCATTGAGAGGAATAATTCAAAATTAATATTATCTTTAATAACTCTTTTTAGGATGCAGATGATAAAATAAAAACTAATATTATCTTTAATAATTTTTTTAGGATGCATACGATAAAATAAACAAGTTTGATATTGATGTTTGGTACAGAGTGATTAAAGATTTTATGATTCAAGTTGATGATTAAGTAAAGGTATTTTACTACAATAATATATATGTATTATGTTTTGCATGTAGTAATTAGGAGCTATAATACTTCAAGGTTCTGGTTGTTTTTTGTTTGTTAATAGCTAAAAGTGCTCTATCAATTGATCTATGAATGAATATTGTAGGTTGTGGCCAATAGAAGAAATTCAGGAGACACGATATTGTGTAAGATTTTAAGAAAAATAGAAATCGATATTGTGTAAGGTTCTCCGTGGTATAATTTTATTTACTGATTACTACACACAAAAAATCTAATACTGTCATGAAGGATTCGCTAGCAATTGGATTAGAAATTTGATTGAAGACAAAAATCCACAAAGATTTTGGGTTTTGCGGATTAGGAATTTGATTCAAAAATTTGATTTCAGACAAAAACTCTAGGAAATATGATGTTTGAGCTGACCACTCATAGAAGACTCAAAAGAAGAAATAAATGGGAATATCGTAAATACCGAATAAGCTGATTAGATTGTAGAAGGAATATTAGAATTTTTTTAAGACAAAATAATATTAAAATTGATTTTGTTATGCAATAATTTAAAGATTATATTTTGAGTTTTATAATAGATTTAAAATGTGTGAGTTATTTTTTTTAGTTCATTTATTATTATAGATTTATTTATTTATTTGTATAAAAAATATTATATTAATTTATTATATAATAATAATTAAGATACAATCCTAAATTAATATATAAAATAAATTTATATAATATTATTAATTTACAGATAACTTAAAATAATATCCTATTATTATTTATGAAGGTTTGATGAAAAGATTTGAAAGGATGTATATTTATTTTATTTCAAATGTATATAATATTTTGAATATTTGCTATTTCATAAAAAGTAAAAATAATTACAATTTTAATTATAATTAATTATAATAAATATACTATTAATATATTTTATTTTTTTATAATTTAAAATTTGTAATAAATTGTAATAATTTTGTAATTTTTTAATAATAATTTTTTTTTTGAGCAATATCTCATATGTCTGTTTGTTTTATCAAGAATTTAATATTAATTATACTCGCAGACCTCAGAAAAATATAAAAAAGTAAAATAAAAATAACTTTATATATGTTTTAATAATCTTTATATTATATAGTATTATATTTTTTACAATCTTATTGATATACTACATTATTATATTATATTGTAAGTTTGTAGAAATTATAAATATGATATAATAAGAAGCATTAGAGTAATATTTAAAAAAATCACGTATTTTTAATAAATATTAAACATAAGAATTAAAGTATCGGTAAAAATTACGAATACCCTTCTTATTATAAATTATAACTTTTTTAATTCTAAAGTTAAATATTTAATTTAAATTTCTAAAAACATAAGAATAAAAATCAATTGAGATTTAGTAATTATTTTAGACTTATGAAATAACTAAAACATATCAAAAAAAATTCAAATTAACTTTATAATTGTAATCTTGATAAAAAGAAATGTTAAATGGTATTTATGAAAATTTAATGATAAATGATAATCATAAAAAATTAATGATAAAAGGTAAAAACTTATGAGACACATATTTATCACTATTGAATAAATAAATTTAAGATGATACGACAATTATTTATTTTTACAATTATTTTTAGAAACATAGATAACTTACAAATATTTTAATAGACGATAAAAATTCATCTATTTTTTAACATGAATAAGTTAAAAATATTTTATAAATAGTCACACGGGTTCAAAACACTTACAAATGAGAAAAATTCTATATGTTGATATAATTATTTGTAGAAACAAAAATAAGTTACAATAACTTTTATAAACCAGAAAAAATTATAAATATTTTAATAAACAAAAAAAAATTCAACTATTGATGCAATTGTTTTTAACATGAATAAGTTAAAATATTTTTATAAATTGTCACACAGTTTCAAGACACTTAGAGCATCCACATCCATCATACCCATTTGGGTTCTTTAAATGGGACCCACATAATTTTTTATATTATTTCACACTTCTCAATTTTTTAAACAACTCATCTACAATTCTCAAATATCCATGTAACTCATCAAAAAAATCTAAAATGGGTCACACATTTAAAACAAATCAACTATATTTTTGCAATTTTATTTATTAATTTATTATCATGACCCACTTAATTGGAGTGTAGAAGCGTGTTTTAGTATGAGGACGTGTTTTAGTTCAGGAACGTGAAAACAAGTGAAATATTCATTTATTATTGACACAATTTCTTTAATAAATGTGTAGAAACTCTCAAAGAACACCGATAATCATGCTCTTATAAACGGAGAAAAATCTAGATATTGATATAATTACTTTTACAAACGAAAATAAGTTACAATAATTTTTTTAAACAAAAATAAATTAGAAATATTTTTATAAGCGGAAAAAACTCATAAGTATATGAAATGTTAACCAATTGAATACATGAAATAGATTCATGGGTATATGTGAACGTATCTATGAGATATTAGTTGTAGTTTGTTCATTTTAATGTCTATCTTTTAAACATTAATATTTTATATAATTGAAGTTAGAGAATCGAATATATGGTTTATTATTATAAATACATATAAATAATTAAAAGTTGGTGTATATTATAAGTACGGTTTGTGATAATGTAAATGTTAATCAATTGAAAAATAAACTCAAACTTTATAAATAATAATTTGATAGACGTCTAATGTGAATCTAGACGGAACTCGTACAATAGCACGAGTTTCTTACTACTTTAATAAATAGACATCAAAGAAGAAAATATTGATACCATTATGGATCAGCACGTAATTAGTGAATTTTAAAATTGTATTTACCACCATAAAG